GCCACCCCTACTCAGCAAAGACCTGCCTCCCCTTCCCTGCCTACCGCTCGCTTCCAGGCAGGGCCCTTCTTGCTGAAAGGAAGGAAATTGCTATCTAGTCCTCCAAAAACAGTTTCTTCATTAAAAAATTTTAAAAATATATTCCTATGCTGTGTGGATATCTTGTAGAAACTAAAACATTTTACCTGATCTGATACTATACAGGGAAGACTTAATTAAAAAATGTACAAAGGTGTGCCTGTATTTAGGAACATAGAGCATTTAGTTGCAAAAATACTCTGCTTCCCTGGGTGCATTTCCTTCTATTTTAGCATAGGATGGTAGTCCCCACTGCCCTGTAGTCTTGGAAAGTACCTCATGGCGGGAAATAGCAAATCCCCTTCCCCCTCCCTCCTTCCCATGATCTCTAATATCTCATCTGAAGTTTCCTTTCTGCCCTTAAGTGACAGATCTCCCTCCCTTCCCCTTTCACAGAGAAGGCAAACTGAGAATGGGTTTGCTGGGGTACGAAACTTTCAAAGCTTTTAATATGCTAACTCATTTTGCAAAGAGAAGACAGTAATGATAGTTTACATTTGTATCATTGTAATGTTTTTGCACACTGATCTCAGTGGATCTCAATCTCCTAAAGTTGTCAAGATACGTGCAAACGAGACAAATGTTATTGAGTATCTACTATGTGCCAGGCTCTTTGCTAAATAGGAGACATTTATCACCCTCACCATGACCCTATGAAGCAAGTATCATCATCATCCCAATTTTGCATATAAAGAAAAATGGCAGTTTGGAGATGACTTGCTAAGTCTTTAGCTGGTGGGGGGGTGGAGGCAGAATCTGAACTTGGCGAATCAGGCTCCAGAATCGAAGTTTTCAAGAGAAAATGATAGAGACGGCTAAGCAATTAGGAGGCGATGGACTGGGGAGAAGGAAATGCCACAGGATGGAGGAAATTTAAGAAAGAAAATTTAAGGGTTTAGAAACTTGTAGTACTAAGTTTGAAAGAGCAAAGATGCAACCAGGATACGTATAATCAGGGCATTTATATTTTTGAGACCGTTTGTGTTTTCAGCCCGTATTCTGCTGCTTTAGGTCTCTTCTTGAAAACTCCCCCTGCTTAGTACTGTGCAGGCCCAATGGGTTTCGTTTTACAGAGAAGTTAGAGGCTATAGGAAAAGAAAGTTGGGAGATTTTGCCTTTGAGATGGGCTGTCTTACTACTTCCTTTCTTTCCCTCCCAATCTGGAAAATCCTATCACTTTTTGAGAGTCTGGCACCTGACTTCCTCTTTGGAAGATCAAGCTCGTCTGCTTGGGAAATACTGGGTTTCGGAGTCAGAAAGACCCAAGTTCAAATCCTGATGCTGATACTTTTTAGGTATGTGATGTCAACACATGAGAGCTTGCCTTAGACTCTGTGAACTTTTGCCCACATACGTGAGCAGGGCTGTTACCCATTCTAGGGGGTTTTGCGAGGATTAGAGATAAAGAATGCATATCACCTGGTACAAAATAGATGCTGAGGGCTGGCAGCAACAACTGAGAAGGAGGGAGTTGGCTGGTTGTTTAGCACCTCTTCTCCTGGGACTCTTCCCACCCTCCCTGTGTGTGTGGCAGGGTGAGGGGTGGTGGTGAGATCTGTGCAGGATGCTGTGTGGTTGGCAGACCCCTGGAGGGAGTGTGAGTGAGTTCAATATCCTCAGAACCTGTGGGAACCTGACGTATTCTAAGGCTTGAAATTCACATAAGGAATAAATAGAAAAGAGGATAAAAGAGTACCTGAGCAGGAAAGCCAGTGCTGACGTTGGGAAAGGTCAGTCATGTCACCCTGGCTGTGGTTTGCCCATAATAAGGGCTTTCATGTAAGGGGAGCTCAGGGATCACCCTTGTCCTCATTCTCCTCCCTTAAGAGTATCAGATTCTACAATCTTCAAAGCCACCCAAGAAACTTCTGACTCCAATCAAGTTCCTTTTTCTGACCCCAGCAAACCCACCTTCCCTCTCTCAAATGCTCTCCCTCTATGCAAGTAATGTTGACCAGAGTCTTTGAACAAACTCTTTATGTCCAGTTACCATTCAGCCAAATAAAAAACGTACGGGTTAGTAATCGCTGTGTCAGAGCCACTGCTGCCAGTTGTATTTTAATTATTGCTTACATAGCCTGACCCCAAGATCCGATTATTTGCAGACTTATAAATACCAATCATCTTCCTTTATTTAAAGAATAGCCAGACCTAGAGGCAAGAGCACTGCTCAGGGACAGAATCTTGACTCTGACCCCCTTAGAAAATGCATGACCACAGACAAGTTACTTAAATTTCCAAGCCTCAGATTTGTTGTATAGTGTGTAAAAGAAAATATTTGAGGGTGTTGTGTGAGGCTAAGGTGGTTTTTAGACCACAAATCAGTGTTTTGCTCTCTATTCCAACCAGTACGTGTTACTAACAAAATAAGCCAGTGTTGACAGTGGCACCCCATTCATTGTGAAAATCTTAGCTGTAGCTGCTTCTGTTCAGTTAAAACTGGTGGGCAAAAGCTCTAAGGTCTATTTCAGGTCAGATCTGGGAAAAAAACAAAGTAGTGATTAGAGAGGAGGAACAAGAATAAAAAATCAGATTGAGAAATAATCCACTTTAGACTTGAGATGTTGGTCTGTTGGTCACTGACCCTTCTATTCTGATTGGCCTGATTTCCGGGACTCCTACAGCTGGTAAAGACAGCAGCTGTTTTTCCCCAAACTACTTAAGATTTATTCTTAAAATGATGTTCTTTTCCATTCACAGCCACGTGGAGAAGCCATCCATCTTCCTAAAAACACCACTTTCACTCTATTTTCTTCTTCAAAAAAGCCTTCAGTGATTATCCATGAACTAGAAATCAATGCTGGATTGCAATTTGGACTCTACCCCATCTCCCCACCTCCTACTCACCACCATCAGCCCTGCCTTACTTATGCCCTCTGTCTTCCATAAAACCAGAGAGGCCAGCTAGATTGGTTTCCTTCAGGTTGCCCAAGGAACTGCCCCTTCCTGATAAAGGTCTTTGCTCCCTCCTTTCTTCCTTACTGAAATGAGTTTCTCTGCCCTCTCCCTGCTTCTCACGTGCCATCATAAGCTTCAGAGGACTGTCTTATGAGGGCTGTGACCAGAAGGTCAGGCACCTAGACTCTAGGTGCCTGACATGGACTCTAGAATCATGTGGCTCTAGTCATCAAGACAGGCCCACCTAGTTGCTCTGTAAGGGGGTGACTGTATTTGTTTTCTTTGAGGGAGTAACTCAGTCAAAATGAAGGTAGTGAGAACTCTATTGGAGAAAACTCCAGCTCGAATCCCTTTCTCTTTGGCCCTCATGGTGAGGGAAAAGAGTGAAGGGACTCGGACACTAACATGGCAGCTTATGTGCCAGGTGCCATGCCAAGCACCAGAAGTGGATTATCTCATTGCATTCTTGTAAGGGATCTGATGAGGTTAGTACTGTCGTAATCTTCATTCATAGCTGAGGAAATAAGCTCAGAGAGAGTAAATAACTTCTCCATTGTTCAAGTACTAAAGTTTGATTTGAACCCAGTTGTATCTGAGTCCAAAGCTTGTGGGTTTTTTTTATTTTTAAATCTAGTCTACACCAGTGGTTCTCAAAATGTGGTCCCTGGAGCAGTAGCATCAGCATCTCCTGGAAATTTGTTAGAAGTTTAAGTCCTTGGGCCTCACCCAAGTCCTACCAAATCAGTGATCTGAGCTGCTACAAGTCTTCGTGGTCATGCACACCCAAGTGCGAGTACTGCTGCTCCACACTAAACCTCCCACAACAGGACCTCCTTACAACTCAGCCTAGAAACCATACCAACACATGAACAGTCCAAGATGCTGGTTCTGTCTGGCCCCCTGACCATGCCACTGTCTCACCTGATATTTCTGTGCCATCTGGTTGCTCATCAAGGCACTCCTGGAGCATGACGTATGCCTGTAGGTTTGGAGGGTAGTGAGAAAATTTTAAAAATTTAAAAAAAGAAAAACAAAAACCTCTTAATTCCTTCAAGTCCTTCTTGATAGAGTTTGTCACAATTTGATCATTTTTGTTTTGTTTACTTTATGTTCTCTTGACTGCCTGAACTGCCAGATTTCTAGTAGCTAATATATATTCTTGGTTGTTTATTCCATCATCCAACAAACATGTGTTGGGTACCAAGTAGGTGACAGCACAGTGCTTGTGTGTGAGCAGTGACTTGGAGGCAAACCCAGCTGACCTTCTCAGAGCCCGCAGTGAGCAGGCCATCACCAAGCAGCGTGGAAAGTGCTGCCTAGGGGTAGGATGCTGCACTTTGGGAAAACACAGGGAGGCCACTTGCGGAGGTGAGGGTTCAGCTAATGACATAAGGAATGAATAGTGTTTTAATTAGCCCAGGGAAGAGAGTGGAGAGGTGGCAGGTGATACGAAGAATGCTCTGGGCTGAGAGTGCCACGCGTGCGAAGATCTGGAGAAGAGTAAGAGCCTAGTGTGGGAAGGGCTGCAGCGAAGTTCAGAGTGGCTGAAGCCTAGAGTGGGAGGAGGTGTGAAGGGAGAGGAGGCAGCAGAGTAAGGCAGGAGGTAGACCTGTGGCCTCATAGGCCTGCTCATGGAGTTTGAACTTATCCTTAGGGAGATGGGAAACCATTTTAAGAAGAGATGTGATGTGGGAAAAGTGTATTAGCAGTGTCACTACAGCACAAATATGGCCTTACTTTGATACAATTTTTTTGTTGTTGTTGACTGTGTTACCACTGTTAATGGATGGTCACTTCTTGAGAGTTATCCTTACTCCTTTTGTCCAACACTTCCCTCAGGTCGCCAGTGCCTTCTCCATCCCACCCCGTGCCCTGCCCAGGCCCAGTAAGAACCGGGCTCCGCCTGTGAGCTGACTGGCGCAGGCAGGAGGGCAGGCAGTGTGTTTTGCTCATTTGCATTGCTTTGATTACCCCATGAATGGAAGTAGGTCACCTTCAGCATTGTCTCCTGCTCTTGGCTTTAGGGTGCCTATCCTTGCTGGTGACAGTCCAGCACACAGAGCGTTATGTCACCCTGTTTGCCTCCGTCATCCTCAAATGTGACTACACCACTTCTGCCCAGCTCCAGGACGTGGTGGTGACCTGGCGCTTCAAGTCCTTCTGCAAGGACCCCATCTTTGACTACTACTCTGCATGTGAGTGCCCTCCCGCTTCTTGCTTCTCTGGCCCCAGGCACCTCCCTGACGTACCGCGTTAGGGCTTAGGAATTATTTAGGATCACAAATCCTTATAGTGAGGAGAAGCCACAAAGATCACCTAATGCAATCCCCTCATTTTATAGGTAAACAAACTGAGCCCAGGCAGATGAAATAACTTATTCAAGGTCATATACTAGTTTATTTTAATTTTTTTTTTTTTGGTCCCACCTTGTCCTAAAAAGATTTCAGGCAGCTCAGACATGAAGTAAAAGGGAAAGCAAGTCCTGCCTCCTCCTGCGCTCCTGGCTCCATGCCAGCACACTGAGCCAAGGAGGCCGACCCGCCTCTCGTCACCCCCACCGCCATGGCACACAGGCAGGAAGACTCCTTCATGCCTGAGGACCACATTCCCTTCTACAGACAGCCTTCCTGGTGAAGGCCATTCCTCTACTGACTGAGCACTTTCAGTACTCCCCAGGCAGCCCGTGTGTTGTGGGACATCTCTTAGTGCCACACAACTCCCTGTGAGGCTCAGCCAGTCCTGTGTCTCAGTAACAATTTCCCATTCGTGTCACTTTTGCGTCTGGACCAGAGCTCTTTCCCGGCTGCCCATTTGTGCCCTCTCCCAAGGAGCAAAGGAACTCAGAACTCTGCCAGCCCAGAACAATTAACCTTTTAGAAATTTGGAGAATAGAAGCAGATACCCTGTTCATAAGAAGGGAGCTTCCTAAGACAAGGGAAAGGGAGAGGGAGGCATCAGCTTTACCTTTTTTTAGCCCTGGGGCTAATGTCTCCCACTATGATTTGAGTAAAACTACAAAAGCTGACTGCTGAGCCACCCACTCAACCTGATATTGTCCCCAAAAGACTCCTTTCTAAATTGAGGAATGGTTTTCTGAGGGTTACTCTTAAAATGCCTGGATTAGGTGAGAAGAGAGACTTAGGTGGTAGCCATAGCTCTCAAACCTTATGTTGTAAGAGCAGGTGGATGAACCTCATGGAGTAGAGGCCGGGGTGACTTTGAAAATGAGACAAGGGAAGTTGGGATAGGAGACAGAGGGATACAGCTGGGATTTGGAAATGATGGTCTATTGTGGGGGCTCTGGAGTCTTCCTGCTCAAAGTGTGGTTCCTGGCACCACCTGGGAGCTTTTTCGAAATCAGAACCTCAGATCCTACTCCAGACCTACAGAATCACAATCTTCATGTTTAACAAGATTCCCAGGGGATTCATAGGCTCGGGAAAAATTAACACACTTCTCTGTGTCTCACACAGTGAGCAGGAAGGGCACCTTCCTTCGTGGGAATCTCCTACTGCTGTGTGACTCAGGTGTGTCCTCTCTCCTCAGCATACCAGGCAGCTTTATCCCTGGGCCAGGACCCATCAAATGACTGCAATGACAACCAGCGGGAAGTTCGCATCGTGGCCCAGCGGCGGGGACAGAATGAGCCTGTGCTGGGCGTGGATTACAGGCAGCGTAAGATCACCATCCAGAACCGTGAGTGTGGGGGAGGCGGCAGAGGAACTAGGGGTAGAGGGAGGAGACGCCGGGCCTGGCAGGCTGTGTCAGCATGGGATTTCCCTTTTTTTTTTTTTTTTTTCTGCCTGATGGTGTACTTGGTCACTGTCATTGTCTGAGAAAAATGCCATATTCATTGAATGTGCTGCACCATCTGAACTTACTTCCCTGGAAGTTGGTCTCTGGACCAAAGAAAAGCTAAGCGTTGTCTAAAGGTATGGAGCTGGGTGATTTCCTTGGCTCTCCTGAGATTTAGGGTTAAGGTATGGATCAGGTTCCTTTGATTTTTTCCCACAGATTGCTCTCAGGGCCAACTCAAACCCCAGGTTCTGAGTTCCCCTCTGGCCATTCCTGTTGTCCATTTGGAAGGAAATAAGGATTTCTGAGTAGATGGCTGTCTTGAGACCACTGCCCTTCGTTGATAGAGAAGAGAGCATTGGGTTTGGATTAAAAAGCCCCAGGTGAGAGTCCCAGTGCTCCCTCTCACTAGCTCAGTGCAGTTATTTTCTCTGGCTTCTGTTTCCTCATCTAAAAGATGGACACAATGGTATTCGCTACACCAAAGTGAGTAGCAAATGCAATATCGAAGAGCGGTGTCTAAAGCCTATTTATTTGTGCCTGGTGCAGGGAGTAGCGGTTAGATCTTTGGCTCTGGAGTCAGACTCGGGTGTGTGTCCCTATTCTGCATTTAGAGGGTGTGTGAACTTGGAAAAGCCCCTCCGATTTCTTCAGCCTCAATTTCTATAAAATGGAAATTGATATAGTACCTATCTCACAGAGATTTGTGGGGACTGAGATAATGTGTATAAAGCATTTGGTAGTGCGCAGTGAGTGTTATTTATCAGTACGCTTTTGGATAGATGCGTTAGCTCGCCACATTCCTGTCTTATAATCCAGGGTTCCTGTAGTAGGTTATCAGCACAGAACTTGGAGCCTATTTCAAGGAGCCTTATGTGCTGTGTTAAACAAATATTTGCTGGTTAAAAGGGAAAAACGGGCAGAACTCAGCAGGCTACTCATGGTGCCATATCTATAATTTGAGGAAATCAGGGAATATTCTATGACTATTTAAAGGTAGATTGTTTAAAGGGAGCCAGGTTAATATTAATAATTGCTTCCAACTTTCTAATACTTTGTAATACTTTTACATTCAACCTCTGATTTCTCTAAACCAGCCCAGATCCCTCAGCCTTAGGAAACATCTGTCCTTCTTTTCTAGTCTCCAGGGACATCTTCAAAGATTCAGGTGGTTCTACTTTTTCCAAGACAGCAGAATTAGTTCTGATCTGACTCCAGAGCAAGTCGCCTTCACAGTTTCTGGAGGCTGAAAATCCCCATAGGTGCTAGTTCCTGTTCTTCTGGTTTTTTTTGTTTTTCTAAAAACATGAAGGTACATACCTTCCACGACCTCCACTCCCAACCTCCACTCCCCTTGAATCAAACCTCGCCTCCTTCTTACTCCCACAGGAAAGCAGTACTGTTTCCCCATGTTTTTTATTTCTGCTTCCAGACTTGCTGTGACTTCCTGGAGCCCTTGTTTTCTGACATTTTTATTACTGTGAAATTTGAGACAACCCTGTCAAATCTGTTCTTGGATCCTTTAAAATGTTAACGTATCTGAATACCCTCATTACTCTGACATCCCTAAATTACCCTTCATGTCTCTAATAAAAATTGGGGCAGATTTATAATACATATCAAGCTGTAAGAGGGAATTTCCCTTAAAGCACTTTCACCATTCTTCCAAGTCTGGAGTAAACTTGTTTCTTGGAAAAGTAGTGGGTTTGGAAAATAGTGCATAGGAAAAAAATTGTAGGGATTGACGTATTAAATAGAAAGAGAAGGAAACAGAAGTCAAAGTTAGGTCCAGTGTTGCATGACCTCACGTTTTTGTTTCATTTCCTCAATAAATATTTCTTGACAAACAGATAATAAAGAATTGCAGATATGACCACCAACTAAAAAGGAGCAAGCCTATACAGCTAAGGTCGCCTGGCTCTTATCACGGGGTAAGAGAGCAGGGACAGCCAATGCGCCGAGACCTGGAGGCTGCCCCGGTGCCTCTGACTGGATTTTAAACACTTTCAGGTCAGAGAAGGGTCTTGTTCCTTTCAGATCTCCCACACGCAGTGCCTGACGTAGTGCCAGACCCACAAGAAGTCTTTGGTGAATATTTGTTGACTTTGCTAAACTTGAGCAAACACGTTAACCATTCATCTGTCTTAATGGGATAACATAGCACTCAGTGCTCACAAGAACTCAATCTTTTCTTGAGTTACATTTACTCTTAACATATTGGCATTTCATCCTCACTTATTCAGGTTCATCTCATACCTGTCCCTTTCAGATCTCGAGGTATTTGTACATTTTAGGCTAGTTAAGGCTGCAGGCTGCAGAGTTTTCCACCCAGGTGGGAGAGGACAGTGGAGCTCAGTAGTTAAGAGCTTTGAGGCAGAGAGATGTGGGTCTGACCCTCCCTCTGCTGAGCACTGTGTCTATATTAATAGGCCAGTCCTTTAGCCTTTTTAAATCTTGATATTCCTCATCTGAAATGAAGTTAAATACTAATGCCCCCTGTATCAGTTAGGATTAGGTTTGATTGCGAGTAAGCAAAAGTCCCAAATATTAGTGACTTAAACATAAAGCAGTTTATTTCTCTCACACATATAAAATCAGAGTTAGTGTGGTAGCTCTGTTCCATGGAGTCCTCACCAAGAACGTCATCTTCTTCCTCATGGTTCACAGTGGCAGCTGTTACATTTGCTTCACAGGCAACACAGTAGAAGAGAGAGAGAAGAAAAGGGCCAAGGTATTCACAGCTGTTTTATTTTTTTTTTTTTTTTGAGACAGAGTCTCACTGTGTTGCCCTGGCTAGAGTGAGTGCCGTGGTGTCAGCCTGGCTCACAGCAACCTCAAACTCCTGGGCTCAAGCAATCCTTCTGCCTCAGCCTCCGGAGTAGCTGGGACTACAGGCATGCGCCACTATGCCCAGCTAATTTTTTCTATATATTTTTAGTTGTCTGATTAATTTCTTTCTATTTTTAGTAGAGACGGGGTCTCGCTCTTGCTCAGGCTGGTTTCGAACTCCTGAGCTCAAACAATCCACCCGCCTTGGCCTCCCAGAGAGCTAGGATTACAGGCGTGAGCCACTGCGCCCGGCCTTATTCACAGCTATTTTTAAGAAAGTTCGTGGGAACCATTATGTGACACTGCTGCTTACATTCTATTGGCCAGAACCGAGTCACTTGTCCATGTCCATCTGTAGGAGAGGATGGGAAACATTGATTTTATTCTGGATGGCCCTGTCTTAGTCCATATTTTCCTGCTCTAACAGAATACCTGAGACTGGGTAATTTATAATGAACAAACATTTATTGGTTCACAGTCCTGGAAGCTGAGAAGTCCAATATCAAGGGCCAACATCTGGTGAGGGTCTTCTTGCTGCATCATCATATGGCAGAAAGCGAGAAGTCAAGGGGGGTCAAACTCACCCCTTTGTAACAGCCCCAATCCCACCCATGAGGGCAAAGCTCTCATGGCCCAATCACCTTTTGAAGGTCCCACTTCTTAATATTGTTATGATGACAATTAAATTTCAGCATGAGTTTTGCAGGGGACAAACATTCAAATCATAGTAGTCACGTACATGGTCAAAGTTCTATGACTATGGGAGAAGGAGAGAATGAACAGTGGGAGACAATTGGTAATCTATACCACACCCACTTTTAGGGTTGTGGTGGAAATTAAATGAGGCAGTGTATCCAAAATCCTTACAAAGTCCCTGGTGGGGCTCGATGATTAGTCAGTTCTGTCATCCATCATATTATTTGGAGAAAGAGGAATTGAGACCTTTCTCTGAACTGCCAGGGGCCCTCCCTTGTAGAGTGTGGAAGAATAATGCTAGGGTCTTGAAGCTGACATGGGTTAAAAATCAGTGCCCTCTCCTCTGACCGCTAGTGCTTTCTCCCTCCCTCCTACGTAGGAGCAGATCTCGTGATTAATGAAGTGATGTGGTGGGACCATGGAGTGTATTATTGCACCATTGAGGCTCCAGGGGACACCTCAGGAGACCCAGATAAGGAGGTGAAGCTCATCGTCCTGCGTAAGTGCTGCTGGAGCTTTCTATTCAGTCACCTCACCAATGTAACACTTTTACTTACAGGAAAAAAACAAAAACGGAAATAAGCAAACCTAGGTTATTGTCATTGCATTTTCAACCTCTGAAGTTCCCTTATCAAAACTAACCTTTTTTTCCCAGTATGTTGCTCAACCTTAACCTGTAGGTCAAGCACTGTATTTATTAGTTGTCTAGAGTATAAGACTGGAAGCATTGCCCCTGAATGTTTGGTCTGACCCCTGCTCGGCCTCCCCTCTGCAGACTGGCTGACAGTGATCTTCATCATTCTGGGAGCCCTCCTCCTCCTCCTGCTGATTGGTGTGTGCTGGTGTCAGTGCTGTCCTCAGTATTGCTGCTGCTACATCCGCTGCCCCTGCTGTCCCACCCGCTGCTGCTGCCCTGAGGAAGGTGAGAGGGGATAGGCAAGTGGAGGGATGGGGTGGACTAGCGCCCAAGACCCCAGACTCATCAGCTTCACATGCCCAGACCAGAAGTTCTCCCAGGTTCTCCTTCATGCCCTTCTCTCATTGCACGCTCAGAGGACATTTGTCTCAGCCCTGAGAATGATGCTTGGGGAGGCTGTAGAGTCACATGGAAGGTGTCTACTTTCTAGGCTGCCTAAAGCCTTTGTCAGATAGCTCTGCCTACTGATGGCGTTTCCTCAGTGTCCCTGATAGCCTGTGCTTCAGTCTTTGCTCCTAGTACTGCCCTTGTTTGGACATAAGGTGGCCAGAAGGAGTTGTTTAAATGAAACAATGGGAGAAAAGACTACTTGTAAAGGAAAAGACAAACTTTTTTCCTCTTCTCACATGCTACTCAATATTTCTGATACCAGATATGTGGGGGTTCTCCCCACACACCAAGAATTCTCCAGTGAACACCAATTGAGTGTCCTATAATTTAACTCAATTCTGACACTATCTACCTGGAGGTATCATCACATCCCCCAGGTTGAGGGCTCAGTGCCACAAGACTCTCCCCCAGCTTTAGATACAAATCACATACTGCTGACCAACTGGCTGTAAATTAAGGGTTCCCATGACCCTCTCCTCGGGTTCAATTAATTTGCTAGAGTGACTCTCAGACTTCAGGGAAATACTTTACTTACTTCTGTTTACCCATTTATTACAAAAGATATTTTAAAGAATGCAAATGAACAGACAGAAGAAGGAGATACATAGGGGATGGTATGTGGAAAGGGGCGAGGAGCTTATGCCCTCTCTAGGTGTGCCATCCTCCCAGCACTTCCACGTGTTCAGTAACGAGGAAGCTCCTTGAACCCAGTCCTTTTGGGTTTTTATGGAGAATTCATTACACAGGAATCATAGACTAAATCATTGGCCATTGGCAATCAAGTCAACCTTTAGCCCTTCTTCCCTCACTGGTTGTTAGGAGGATGGAAATGAAAGTCCCAACCCTCTAATCATTACTTTGTCTTTCTGGTGACCAGCCCCATCCTGAAGCTACCAAGGAGACCACAGCTACCAGTTATTAGCATACAAAAGACACTCATCACTCTGGAGATTCTAAGGATTATAGGAGCTGTATGCCAGGAACCAGGGGCAGAGACTGTCATCCAAAAGAATATCAGGATGGCTAAATAGTAGAAAGGAGAGTTTTATTGGTGATATCAATTTGCAGACTGGGAAGAGACAGTCTCCAGCATGGACCAAAGGTGCTCTCTCTTCGAAGAGGGAAAGATCAAGTTGGGTTTTATACCTTACTGGGTCTGTATTGCACAATGGAATCATACATATTCAGCAGGTTTGGGGGAAGCTATATATTGATATAGTTATTAGGAGAGCTGAGCACATGTGTAAACATGTATGTAACATATTAATACATCCCATGTTCACCTTGGGTTGGGGTTTTAGCATTACAATTAAGTGGAATTTGGCTCTTTATGTCAAAAAGTAAACTATGGAACACAAAGACAATTTGTGTATAGTCTGTATAAGCTGACTGAAACTGGCTTAAGGTCTGTAGATGCTTATCAGAAAAGAATGTTTGTAAGGCTGGTCCTCTGTCCCACCAGTTGTAGTGATCTGGTTTGTAAATCTGAGTTAGAAGGGGTCTGATAACTTGCCTGTTAGCTCCTATTGTTAGGAAGTTTAGCAAGAGTGTGGTTTTTCTTATAGCATTTAGAAATTTGCCATGGTAGCTGGGGCCTGAACCCTTGACTTGTGGGTAACTTTTGTTTCCTTAACCTTAGGGTCTGTCTGAGTTGATAAAGGAGCATCTATTTTGGTCTCTTAGATCACAAGACCAAATATATATTTCTTATTCTAGTACAGTGGTGTACCATTCCTTAGAGATGACTTGAAAAGAACAGAACAGATGAGAAAGGTATTAGAGCAGTGGTTCTCAAACTGAAGCTCACATTAGGCTTACATGGAGGACTTGTTCAAACTTAATTGCTGGCATTCACTTCCAGGATTTCTGACTCAGTTGGTCTGGGATGGGGCATCAGAATTTGTATTTCTCAAAAGTTCCCAGGTGATGTAATGCTGTTGGTCTGGGCACCAACAGCATTACATCACCTATGAGTTAGGGGAAGGGAAGAGAGAGCAGAAGATCTTGCACTTAATATATTGTTTTTTTGGACTAAAATTTGATCCTTTAAAACAGAATCATAACAGAATTATGCCCTAAAAAATTTGGCTACAGGCCGGGCACGGTGGCTCACGCTGTAATCCCAGCACTCTGGGAGGCCGAGGCAGGTGGATCGCTCAAGGTCAGGAGTTCGAGACCAGCCTGAACAAGAGCGAGACCCCATCTCTACTAAAAAATAGAAAGAAATGATCTGGACAACTAAAAAAATATATATATATATAGAAAAAATTAGCCGGGCATGGTGGCGCATGCCTGTAGTCCCAGCTACTCGGGAGGCTGAGGCAGGAGGATCGCTTGAGCCCAGGAGTTTGAGGTTGCTGTGAGCTAGGCTGATGCCATGGCACTCTAGCCTGGGCAACAGCGCCAGACTCTGTCTCAAAAAAAAAAAAAAAAAAATTGGCTACAGAATATATGGTAAAGGCAAAAGAATAAAAAATGATTCTATAAAGATCTTAGTAAATAGATGGAATAACATCAACTACTTTAAATGGAATGTTTTTTTTTTAATTTTTGCTTTAAATACATTTCCTTTTCCTGATGATAAAAGTAAAGTACTACATTGCAGGAAAGTTGAGAAATTTAGGAAAATGTAAAGACTAATCTAAGTACCCAAAGATAATCACTCTTATCATTTTGGTCAATTTGAAAAAAAAAAAATTAAAGGAAAAATAAGGAATTACCCATTAAGATAGAAACAAAACTTAATCTACAAGGTTAATTTAAGAAGGTAAATGGTCTGAGTCTGGTTTCAGGCCTGTGCTCCGAGTTGCTGTCTTACAGGAAAACAGAACTGACTTTTACTGGGTGTTTACTTTGTGTAGGCCCTTTGCTTGTATTTCCTCATTGACTCTCACAACAACCCTAGAAGGAAGATGTCATTTGTATTTAACAGAAGGCCAGAGAAGTCCCCAGCTAGTAAGTAGCAATGGCAGTGCAGTGTGGAATCCACGTTCATCTGACTTGTCAATGTCTGCATTTCCCACAACAGGGACTGCCACAGCCTCTGTAGGCAGATCACTATGAGATTGGCTAAGATATTGTGAACTCCTTAAAGAGGGGAAAATAGCAGAGGATGCAATATTGGGTCATGGGGTCCCTACCCTTCAGGGACCTCAGGGAGAGAGGCCATGGGGAAGCCACTATCCCTGGAGTAGTAATACACAGAATGAGATAAGAAAAACCCTCCCAAGATGGCGTCTTAGAATCCCGAGATCTGTGGGACACTAAAACAGGCAAGACTGGGGACGAGACTAGCACAAGTGATAAATGAATTCCTTGTGGGTAAGCTAATAAACAGAGGTTCTGGGGGAGAGTGGTTTCTCCTAAGGGGTTAAAGTTTATTTAAAAGAACTGGTGAAATAAAGAAATGTAGGCCATAAAGATCCCTGACCTTGAGCAAATGAGGTCACTTTCAAAGTTACTCCGCTAGGGCAGACTGTCCTAAGAAGTTTGTTGCCAAGAGGAATTGCCCAGAGGGGTACATGTTGTTAAGGAAAGTTCTTTGCTTGGCAGGGGTGGGGGGGGGAGCGGTGATTGTTCGTTTTTGTGGAATAAGGTAACCTAAGCATATTTATATGATTTATATGCAGAGAACCAAGATCAATGACAAGTGAGTAAAGTGAAGCATTAAGAAGTGAGGTAATCACTGATGAGTGATGAAGCCGGTGGGAGTGGCCTCAGCGGAAAAAATTAGCCTTAGCAAGGGAAGGGAAAGGAAAGAGAGGCACCCTGACCTCTGAAGACAGAGAGGAAGTCATTAAAATGTGGAGGATGATTAACACATAAGGGAGGAGGCTGAGGCAGCTCACAGCTGCCTGACTCGATTTGAGCAAATCGAACTTCTAGACACAGAAGGGAGCTTCAGGAAAGATGTCAGTGATTCTTGAACTTCTTTGACCACAGCTGATCTCCTTGACCTGCTCCCACTTTCCAGTGAGACTTAAAAGAGGGTTAGAGAGGAGAAAAATGAAAATGACACCGCACTTTAGTAAGCCTTGATAATTCACTTACTATTGGTAAACAACCCTCAGTAGGACTTAGAGATGAAAGTTTTTGAAATTGAATCTTAATTTTTCCTTGAGAACTTGAGAAACAGCTTTCATCCTTAGGATGGTTACTGGCCCTCCTTCCTAGAGAACCTCTAGGCACACCCTGCAGTGGGCACAGGCCACACTGAAGATCAATCTGTCTTGCTCCTTCCCCAGCCTCCACCCCCAACAGCTGAGGGAAGTGAGGCTTGGAGACTTTTACACAATTACACATAGCCTGTTAGCGGTGGGCCCTGGACTAAACCTAGGTTTCTTAACTCCTTGTCCAGGGCTGGTTCTTCTTCTTCAACAAAGATGATGTCACGTAAGTTCATGGGGAGGGGAAGACCTGAGAATCAGGGAATGTTTAACCTGCTGCCATAGAGGAGGGAACACATGTTCAGTAGATCAATCAAGGAAAGCCCTCTTGGGATGAGCCCTATTTGAGGTCAGTTGCTTGGCTGGGGCCCAGAAGCTTCTGCTGGTAGTTTCCTAGAGCTGACATTACAAGAGTTCAAAGGGGCATGGAATTCTAGGAAGCTCCTGAGGATGTCACTGAAATGACTGGGCAATCAAGTCAGGGGGACTGGTAGTTTCGGAAAAAGCAAAAGGACTGTGTGACTGTGGTTAAAAGGAGGGCAAGAGTGGGTTCTGTGAGGGTGGAGAGGGGATGGTGAGGAATGGTAACCTGTTACAGGCAAGTGGAATCGTAGACCCTCAGGTGCACCAGTTCTGTGTGGCGATGCACACAGATGATCCTGGCTTCAGGGCAGGAGAGGTGCATGTCCCTGCAGGAGGGTGAGGTGTTGAGTGTCATTTCTGTCATGAGGGGGACATCTTAAAGAATATGCTCTGAGTTTTCTTCAGAGATGAAGATTAATATACCTTTGGTGGTTTAGTCTCCCAATATTTTCTCTCCTTCTATGAGATCTTGGGCAAAAAAAGCAATTCATAACAATGAATTGTTTGTTGACTATCTGTCATGTGTTAGACATTTCATGCATATTACCTCATTTAACCTCAATGACCTTGTAAAAAAGCTGTTCTTATCCCCAGCTCTCAGATGAAGAGACTGGTCTCAGAGACTCTGGAAACTCACTCAAAATCACATAGCTAATACATCCTGGAATTCAAATTGAAGTTCATCTGACCTTCAAAGTCCGTATTTAAGGAGACCTATCCCTAAGGACCATTTGTTGAGAATCCTCATTGTCAACTCCAAGGTGACCGCCTGCGTTTGAACAGGGAGCTTGTTGAAAATACAAATTTTCTTGCATTGATTAGGCCAACTGAAGGAAAGTCTCTGGAAGTGAAACCTAGAAATCTATATTTTTAACAAGCTCATTAAAGTTGACTAAGGTGGACTTTATTCCCCTGAGGTTAAGAGATAACTTACTGGGAGTCTTTTGAGGCTTCATTGCTTTGTCTGTTTCTTATCTTTATTGCCTGTCTGATTCCCCATTAGGTGAACAACAGATACCCTGATGGTCTAGACATCCCTGAGAGGTCATTTCCAGGGATGGGGTTGGAGAGCAAGACAGAAGCTCAGAGGTTGTGTCTTCCATGCTGTTTCATCAGTTCTAGTGCAACAAGGAAGGGAGGGGCCCTGGAAAAAAGTGGCAGCTAACAAGGGAGCAGGCGGTTAATCTCTGGACTGTGTAACAAAATTCAGGGAAATGGCAGGAAAGCTAACGCAGGATCTAGAAGGGTCATTAGGGAGTTATCTGTTTTGGGGGTCCCATTAATGGAAAAAAATCATTTGAGAAGCAAGGAGGAAGCACAACTCTTCCTTTCTCCCCTGTTGAGTTGGAGAGTAGAAGGAAGTGGCCAAACAGGGGAATGGTACCATCTGGAAGAAACCAGGATTCAGTTAAAGGGGTGGAGGTTACTAGGGTTGTTCCCAATGGAATCAGATATTCCCAGGCCTTGGAGGGAGAGACTAGCCTAGAGTGGATTTTGAAAGGTGTGGAGCTGAGTTGCTGAGAAGTAAACTGAGGAGGTACCCCTGGGGAAGGTTTTTTACTTCATCATAGAAAATAAAGGAGTATGGGGACTTGGTGGTGTGGCACAATGAGCATAGGCTTGAACATCAGACAGACACGGGTTCACACCCTGGCTGTGCCAGTCACTAGCTGTGGGACTTGGGGCTGGGAAGGTGACCTCTCTGAGCTGAATTTCCTCATCTGATTTTCACATTAAGAGATTTCTGAGAGGACTAGTTAGCTTATGTAAAATAACTGGCACGTACTAGGCAGGCCATTCCTGTGTGTCGCTGGCCAGTAGAGGGCGCTAGGGAGAGGCAAGTGTTAGCAAGAGGTACCGGAAAGCGGTGAGCCTGTGGACTTGTCTTCAGGGAGGCTGGGAGGCTCTCCGTTGGCTGATGGTGTGGCAGCTGGGTGAGCTGCCGCAAGTTCGCATCTGATTTCTTCCAGGCTGGGCTGTGACTCGCCTTTAGGGCTTCTAGGGGCTCCGCTGCGACCACTTTCTGTTGTGCTGGAAGTTTGTTTCAAACTGGAACAGCTGGGTTACCCGCCAGATGGCCCCTTTGCCATGGGCCTCAGCAAATCTCTCACCCTCTGTAGCTGGGTCCAGAATGCTTGTTTTCCGCCCCCTCCTGCTATGCCAGGGGGAAGCCTCAGGCAGCACCCTACTGTTTTAGGGGTGGCCACCAGGCCTGGGGAACAGAGGAGGAAGTGGGGAAACGGCAACGGAGGAGTGCCAGGTTAGGGGTCTGTCGTTCACAGCATGCGGCAGGCATTTCCTGCACTTTAACATGAAAGTACATGTCTTACATGCATGGATAGTCAGAGACCTTGGGAGACGTATTCAACCATAATTACTTCAAAATAGAAATTTATGAACAAAAACAACTAAATGCTTTCATTTTTAATTTGTACTCACTGTGGGTTTTGTGCCTCAGATCAGCCCCGCCTAGGCGACTGGAGCCATATTGCTGTGGCCCCCTCGTGCTGCTTTTTTAATACTGATTTCTTTGCTCATAAAGGAAATGGTATTTCCCTTTCCCCTTCCTGCCTCCACCCCACTCTTTTGAGATTCCCCATACTTAGGGAAAATCCCAACACTTAATAAGATGAGAAGAGTAGAAACGATCCACTTGAGTGCACTTGAGCATTTTGTACTCCCTTGCTTTTGTCCCAGAGATTCTCACCCGGGGTTGGTTTGCCGGCTAGAAACACTCTTCAACGTAATGACCACGTAATTCTGCCCATTGACTTCAGCATCATATCCTTCCTTTTTTCTTTCACTCTGAGCAGACAGCCCTGAGCTGGCCTGGCAGACACCCCCACCCCTGACTCACAGCCTCCTCTAAGAACTTTGCATCTGTACCTTCTATTTGTGACCTTGGCTTCTGGTTTTCTTGGCCGATAGCCTGAGATTTCGTTGTCTCACAATATCGATCCATTTACCTGTGCATTTTAGGTGATGTTAGGAGTGAGCACGATGGTGGAATGGGGTACAGAAGTTATAGTCTCACATATAGAGAATTTGTTCCCAGCTGCTTGCCAGGGGTACAGTTGATTTACTACTTCCTTAACCCTTACTCTCATGCAAGATAGGTGAGAATGGACTTAGAGGAGAAAAGCTGGCTTCTTGCAAGACCACAAGGTGGAGAGAAGTGAATTGGGAGGTTTGGAGCTTGCCCTGGCTGAGGGTCCGCATTTCTCCTTTTTCCCCTGCAGTCCTGGCCCGCCACCACTACATGAAGCAGGCTCAGGCCTTAGGTTCTCAGATGATGGAAAAACCCCTGTACTGGGGGGCGGACAGGAGCTCCCAGGTTTCATCTTATGCAATGAACCCGCTGCTGCAGCGAGGTAAACCTTGCCTGAGATTTGGGGCTGGGGAGGGCAGAGGGCAAGGGTAGGAATGTGGAGTGCATTGGGGCCCCATGACCAATAGGGTGTGTGTCTTCATGACTGCGGGTGGGAGGGAGTAAAGGCAAGCTAAATAATGTAACATTCTAATGTCCTGGTTCTGAGGAGTGTGTTTTGGGCCAGTAGATCAGCATATTATGTCCTTGTTTCCATTCAGATTTGTCCCTGCGGTCCAGTCTTCCACAGATGCCAGTGACCCAGACCACGGCTCACCCTCCCATCACCAATGGCGTCCTGGAGTATTTGGAAAAAGAGCTACGGAACCTCAACCCAGCCCAGCCTCTGCCCCCTGACCTCAAAACCAGATTGGGCCATCCCTGCAGCATGCTGTCCTCCCTGGGCTCTGAGGTTGTGGAACGCAGAATTATTCACCTGCCCCCACTGATCAGAGACCTGCCATCCTCAAGGAGGACCAGTGACTCCTTGCGCCAGCAGCGGCTCACTCCAGTTCCCTCCAGACCCTGGGATCTGAGGGAAGGGAGAAGGCAGCACCATTATCCTGATTTCCAGCAGGAGTTCCAGGATGGGGGGCCAGAGCCCTGGGCATTGGAGAGAAGGGAGCTGGACCACCCGTGGAGCGGAAGGCACCACAGCTCCAGGCTCAATGGGTCACCCATACCCTGGTCAGACAGGGACAGCCTCAGTGATGGCCCCTCATCCAGCGTGGCACGCTGGCGTCCCAGCCGTCCCCCTCTCAGGAGCCACTATCAGCAGAGGCCCCGCAGGCCCAGCCCCAGGGAGAATGCCCAGAGGCGTGGGAGACGCAGGCACCGCAGCTACTCTCCTCCCCTGCCCTCAGGCCTCAGTTCTTGGAGCTCTGAGGAGGAGAAGGAGAGGCAGCCCCAGAGCCGGAGGGCCCACCGCCAACGCTCATACTCCCCAAACTGGCCTGAGGAGAAGCCGCCCAGCTACAGCTCACTGGATGTCATTCCAGGCAAGAATGGCAGGAAGAAAGGGAGTGTGGAGAGGCACTCGGTGAGCCTGGGGCATCCTACTGAGGGTCATGCATAGGGAGAGAGGACTCTCCAGCCAGGCTTGGCCACAGCTGACACAGGCCGCCTCATGTGCCCCTGCTGAGGCTGCCTCTTCCCTGTTTTGCACAAATTACCCCTGTCGGCTGGGCGAGCCACCCCTCCTTAGAGCTAACGGGACCTAATGAGTACAGGGTGCCAGTCGGTGTAGAGCGCAGGGGAGGGGCTCAAAGGTTATGAAGGGCCTTCTTGTCCTCAGTGTCACTGTAGCTCTCATCACAGTCCTGTGAGCAGGTCAAACAGTGTCCCCATTTCACGGATGAGGAAATGAGGTTCAGAATGATTAAGCACCTTGTGAGCAGCAGAGCTAGGACTTGAATGCAGGCCTGCATGGCTGAGGCTTTGCCTCCTTTCACAGCTGCCTTGCTTTATTTAGCCGTGCATTTCCATACCCCAAATTAGAACGGGCGGCCTGACAGAAAACATTTGTCAAGTCAGCACACAAGGTCCTCGTGTGTGTGAGGATGAGGCCCTCTGAGACATCCCCTGGAAAGGATCATTTAAACTGATTTTTTAAAAAATAAACCCTGATATCCCAACTATGGATCAGAACTTTAGGATTATACGAATAGGTAAGATGTCAGTGGGTACCAGACACATAGCTTACCAGGCTAAAAGGAGAACACAGGACGAGGCAGGTGCTTTTTTTTTTTGTGGAGATGGGGTATTACTCTTGTTCAGGCTGATCTGGCACTCCTGACCTCAAGAGATCCTCCTGCCTCAGCCTCTCAGTGTGCTAGGTTTGCAGGCGTGAGCCACCGCACCTGGCCAGGATGTAGGTATTTTGGGCCTCTGGATATAGATCCTTTTTTTTTTTTTTTAAGAAGTGACTTTAGAAAATCATTTATAATTAATATACCCAAATGATGGTGTTCATTTAATGTTGCCACTTTGCAAAAAAATGCTTCCATTGCTCAAAAACATTAATGAACTGCCTCAGAGCCAACTTACAAGCTACCCACCAAAATCTTCTATTTAACTAAAATCCTTTTCTCTTTTGTTTCTGTTGAGACAGTCAAAGAGACATGAAGTAGCTCTGAGGGAAGTTCTCAGAGTAGGGGGATATTATAAAAAGAAGAATTGTAGTCTCTCACGGGCTTTGAAGGATATAACTCTCATTTGGAAATACGTGTTCTGCTATGATTTTATTAAAAAATCAATCACATACATGGTGTGTGCAAAGGCACGGGCCTCTTAGGAGAGCCACAGTGCTGCTCTTTCTAAAGTAGAACCTGTGAGAGATCAACTTATGAGGAAGGCAGTGAAGACCAGCAGGTGTATCTGAAATAGTCCATGGCAGCTATGTCCTTTTATCACAGATGTACCATGAGAGACAAAGATCAGCAATAGTGAAAATAGCTACCCCTTGCTAAATGGTACTGAGTTATAGAGATGCAACATCTTAATTAATCCTCACAACAATCCTGTGAGATTTATACTATTATCCTCATTTGCAGATGATACAACCATTTTTTCTATGTTACCAGTAAGAAAATTACATCCTGAAAGAAAACATAGTCAAAAGGCAGACAACTGACAACAGTTACTTTATCATATAGTGACTAAACCATGTCTCTTCATTTTAACAGAAAAAATATAATTTAAAAACTAGTTTGGGGCCAAAAATCTGAACCCTATTTTCTTCTAAGTTAAATTCTTTTCTTTATTTTCTTTAAGTTAAATTATGTGGTTTCTTATAAGTGAGAGAAATGTAAAAGGAACATCAGTTATGTTCCAGACACTAGGGTTAACCCTTCCCAAGCCTTACTTACTCCTCACAACCACCATGTGAGGCTCAGAGAGGTTGAGTAACATGCCCAAAGCCACCCAGCCGATAGGGAGTGAAGCCAAAGTTTGAACATAAACCTTCGCCCCTCAAGCCTGTGCCCTTTTCCATAACTCATGCTGACTCCTTAGAGAGAAGAGTATTATCAGGGGTTAATGATATTTTCTGATAGCTTTATTTCTTCCTTATTTTCTGAGAGTAATACAGCTTCCTTTAGCATCAAGATGTACACAGCAATAATTCTACAATAAGCAAACTGAATTTTTAATTGCAAAGTTACTCCCCAGAGGCAAAGATTTTGTGCAAGACAATTTTTAAAGCCTCCATTGTTGTGGGTCTCTTTGAGCTTATCTCCCAAGGAGTTATCATTTTCCATTATCATGTTCAACTTTCCCCTCATATTCTTACAGTGACCAGAGGCCCAGGACCAAACATTGACTTGGCAGATTGATTAGTTTGAAGGGCAGAGTGTTTTGATTTGTTTGCAACTTGAATTTTGAACATCTTTATTGAGACAAAAACGTCTCCAGGGCCAAAGTCTTGCTCTTCCCTCCTCTCCTTGGTGAGGCTGGATCAGGGGTGGGGAAACTGCTGCCTTAAGTGCGGGCTTCTTTCTGTAAAATTTGGATTCAGTCAAAAGGCTGCACTTAAGGATCTAAAAGGCCACAGTTAGCCTTAAGTCCACAGGTTCCCCACCCCTGGGCTGGATGCTTCCCACACAGGTTACCTGCCTAGACTCTGAAGTCATTGGAGCTTGCAGCAGAATTCAGATACCATTAATACGACTGGGCCTCTAGATGGTGATTTTTGACCATGGACACTTGAAGTATCTGTTTGTTCCTAGAGTTGATAAGATGTATCACTGTTTTGTTTTTTCTTAAAGCAGCCTTTAAGCAGTTACAGCTTAACCATAACTTTTTATAAAATTATTTAGTATTTAGAAAAATATGAATTAAACAAAAAAGTTTTTGGTTCACATGGAACCTTCTCTCTCAAGAGTAATGTATAACAGATACTAATAAACAAGAGTTTCCACGTACATGATCTTATAGGAACCTGAAATAGGTAAGAACTATTTTTTGCACAGTGTCCATGAGGAAATGGAGGTTACACTGAGCGATCTCCCCTCCAACTCCAGAACCAGGACTCCAGCTGAGATCTCAATTCAGGTCTGGTGGTCTTTTCACTCAGCCGAAGCTACAATCTCAGAAATATAAGGAACAGAAACTTGAAGCTTTTAATTTCAGTGATTACAGACTGAGTGGCCCCTGTGTTCCCGTCCTCCTTCAAATCAGTTATCTTTCTTTCCAATCTTGCCGAGGCATTTCTGACTTGTTCCAAACTTGGCCTGTACACACCTATTCTACTATAAGAGAAAACCACTGTGTTCTATTCTCACCAAGCTAAATTCAAACTTTCAATAGAAAATCCTAGCTTTTTCCTTTTTTTCTTGACTTTTTGATTTAATAAAAAACTTTTATATCAGGATTCTTAATCTGCTGCTTTCAACAAAATGTCTACTCCTTGGTCATGTCTTGGTTTTCCTTTAGTAAGCTCTGCACAAACTCCTTTTATCCCATTTCATTATTTTCCTTTGTGTCAGATAACATTAATCCCACAGCATTTTGGTTATAAACCATGACTTCTAAAACTCACTTTCCTGATAAATTGGATTTTTTTATAGCAAGCTGAATGTACATACATATATGACACCTTTTGAATGGTATATTTTAGGACAGATGCCTTATCTTCCTACATTAAATAAGATGATGGAAGATCACATTCATGAACTACAAGTATAGATCTTCAAAACTTAAAGAAAATGATCCCCCGCAGTACATAGTTAGAGAAATATGAGAAATGTAAACCACAGTACTTACTCTCATCAAGCAAGTAGAAAAAGCCCAAAGACCAAGTGGAATAATTTCTGATGAAAAGCAACTGAGTTTAGTCAGGAAGAGGTAACTAGTGATCTTTGAAAAATAACTTCAGAGAAATACTATGATATGAAGCTAAACTTTTTAGAAAAAGGCTGGGAATGAATGGTTCACTATAAATGGACACTATAAATAGGAAAAAGAGAACTGGGCCATGTCTTCATGGGTAAATGGTAGAGAGATGGACTGATGAATGGAACAGGTCTAGGGAGACTTGAAGATGTTAAAAACAGACCAAGCGGCAGAGTGAATAACACCTGAAGAATTTTTCCAAAATTAAAGGTCTTTGAGGGAGACTCTTGAGAGGTAGGCAGGAAGAGAAACCTAAGCCTGCGGGGAGAGACTTGCTTCATGCAGAGTCAAGAGATATTCTTTAGGTTCAGATCTGCTGTCCCGGCAGCCACCACTCACTCAGGATTTGTGAGTCAGCGCACCTTGCGTATTGTAGACATAGAAGATTCTGGCTGACTGGATTTTTTTGTGCTCTTCTATTCCCCAGGAGAGAGGCAGCTCCCATAGTGGAAGGAGTGTTGTCATTTAGTCACCAGGCACCGCACAGATTCTGTGGCTACTTCTTGGCTCCTGCGTGTCCTCAGCATCACCTAGATTTCCAGTGACTTGGGCGGAACCTGCAAGTCTGTATATGACGGTTTTGGCTTAGATTCTGAGAATCAAATAGAATTTTAAAAACAAGAATTTAAGGAATTAGTGACTGTCATTTTAGCTTTGGTTCACACACACTGCATATTTATGTAGTCTCTGACTAGTAATGGATCCTAACTGGGATGTGATCCCTCAGGAAATGAAGTAGCCTGAGTCTTTAAACTACGCTACACTGCCCAGGACTATGGCCATTTTCAAAGTGAGGACTCAGGAATTTTTAAGAAGAAATCAAACATGTTGGAAATCTATGGAGTATGACAGGAAATTCCCATGGGAACTTGTCTCCCTCTATCGTGTACCTTGAGTGTCCCTCCATATTTGGAGTTTATCCCGCTGTCCCCGTGCTCAGTCCTGAGAAATCCTGAGGTTCCAGAAAGAGATGTCACAGGAGATACTCCATCCTTGTGCCCTCTCACAGGCTATTTATTTTAAATGTAGAAACTCACTGGTAAGAAGTTTTTACAGCCTTATTCCTGTGCCTTGTTTTCTTCTTGCTCTTAATTTATATTTTCTTATATATTATGTATCCATTAAAATCGCTTTAAATGCTTCTTGGGAACAACACAGTGTATAAATAAATAAGAAATGAAATGTACCGGGCTGAGGATTCTACCCCAAATAAATATCTGCTTTTCTATTGTGGTGCACTTGATTGGATTAAGCTGCCTTCCCCACTGAAGCTCAGAGTAGAGCCAGGCCAACCTGGGTAGTTCTGGAGCCATCACTCTCTCGGCACTGCTTAGTCTTTCAGAGCTGAGACTTCTTAAGCAGAAGCATCCAGGCAGGTCTTGCCACTCAGAGAGTCCCAGGAGGAAAGGGCTGTGTGTGCCCTCCCTATAATAAGCTCTACTACCCTCTCTCATTTTCTGCAGCCCCTTTTGGAGGCTTCATGAATCCATTTATGCTTGATGTGGAGACCCACCCTGAGCATATTAGGAGGAGGTAGCCTGAGTGGAAGGGTGTGTGTGTTCTTCAACAGCATTCGTATGTGCTCAGTTTGTACCCTATTAACACATCCATTTTTCCCAGTCTCACTAACTTAATGACATGTGGAGAAAATAGCTTAAATTCCTGCATTGGGCAAATGTTTCTTTTTTGATATCCATGTATAACTGGATTGAAAGTAGCAAAAAAAAAAAATATTTTAATAGATAATGTAGACATAAAAATTCAGTAGGTGAGGGACTTCTGGTCTGAATAAGATGGCACTGCCCGCTCTTCCCTGATAAGCACAACTTTATACATCTTGGAAATGGCACAAGAGACAACCAAAGGATAACTATGAAGGATGTTAAGAAGGTGGCGATCTGGTTTGGGAACCCATCCCGCTGGATCTAATGGATCCCTCCGGCAACCTGAGGCAAGGATACTGATTGGAAGTACTGCAAAAAATAAGTGACCAGGGGAAGTACTCTCCTCCCTGCTGGGCCACAGACTCCTCTTTTCTGAGGAGAGATACTGAGGTGGGCAGGAAGAATCAGTAAGAGAAACCCAGGAAAAACAAGCGGTCCAGTTGGGGAAGCCTCTTTATGCAGGCCTGAGACTCTTCTCCCTTACCCTTTTCCTTGTAGAAACACAAAAAGGGACCTGACACAGCCAGCAGCCCTGCAGCTAGCAGCTTCATCGCAGAAGCCGCTTTATGGAACTGAGACTCTCCTGGGCCCAGAGAAACTTGATCAGCTGAGGAACACCAGCAGGAGGATTCCTCACACCCCTCCCTCACCAAGAGATATCTGGCAACCTGGGCAGGGGAAATTCCTCCCGCCCCATCAGGCAGTACCTACAAGAGACTAGTGGGGGCCCCAGCAATGCCAAATAAACCAAGCAGACCAAAATAACACTACAGGACTCTGAAAATTAAACTGCCATTAGAATCACAACCCACAAAAGTAGGCTAAGACCTATATGCTAAACCTAAAGAATGCTCCCTGTAAAATAAAATATTTATATAGAACTCAGAGTTTCCTAATATAATAGACAAAATGTCCAGAATACAAACCAAGAACCAAGAAAATAACAAATGAAAAAGGAAATCAACTGATGCCAACACTGAGATGAATCAGATGTTGAAACTGATAAGAATTTGAAAGCAGACATCATATAAATGCTATAATAATTATAAATTCTTTTGAAACAACTGAAAAAAAATCTCAGAAAAGAAATAGAAATTATATTTTAAAAGAAATGAATGGAAATTATAGAACTGAAAAATACAATAACCAAAACTGAAAACTCACCAGGTAGGCTCAATAGTACAGTAGAAATGATGGAGGATAAAATTCGTGAACTTGAGGACAAAACAATGGAATTCACCCAATCTGAACAATAGGAAATAAACCGGAAAAAATGAATAGACCTCAGGGACCTATGGGACGATAACAAAATATTTATTATTTATAGCACTGGTATCAGAGGAGAGAAAGGGTAGGGATGAATGAATAATTGAAGAAATAATGGCTGAAAACTTCCCAAATTTGATGGAAGACACCAACCTAGAGATCCAAGAAGCTGAATAAATCTCAAAGAGGAAGAATACAAAGAAATCCATGTGAACATACATCATTATTAAACTTTTGAAAACTCAAGACAAAGGAAAAAACCTGAAAGCTGCCAGAGAGAAATAGTGCATTACTGTAGGGTAACACCAGTTTGAATGGATTTCTCATCTGAAACCATAAATGAGGAAGTGGCCAAATATTTTTTTAAGTGCTGAAAGCAAAGAACTGTCAATCCATAATTCTATATCTGGCAAAACTATCTTTCAGAAATCAAGGGAAGAGAAAAACATTCACAGATGAATGAAAACTAAAAGATTTTGTGACTAGCAGACTGACCCTTAAAAGACTAGCTAATAAAGGAAATTCCTAAAACAGAAAGGACATTATAAAAGAAGGATACTTAAAGCATCAGGAAGTAATAAACAATAGAAAAAGCAGAAATATTGGTTCATATAATGGGCAATTCTTTTCCTTAGGAGTTTTATAAATCATATTTGATGACTGAAACAAAAATGATAACACCATCTGATACTCAAAACAATGATACTTGAAGGAAACCAAAGGGATCTAAATGGAAGTGAGGTTTCTATAACTTTATTCAAAGTGGTAAATGTTGATACCAGTACATTGCTATAAGTAGCACGTGTAACGCCCAGAAACTATGAAAACTATACAAAGAGACAAACTCAGAAGTGCCATAAATAAATCAAGATGAAATCCTAAAACATATTCAAGCAAATTGCAGAAAGACAAGAAAGAGAAAAAGAGAAATAAGAATCAAAGGAAAGAAATAGAAAATAAATAATAAAATAACAGACTAAAGTGTTAACATATCAATAATTACCTTAAATGTAAATGGTCTAAGTACATGAATCAAAAGACAGAGATTGGCAGAGTAGATTAAAAAAGCCTAACCATAATCTAACTATATGCTGCATAAAAGAAAAATTATTTCAAATTCAAACACAGGTAAGTTGAAAGTAAAAAAGGATGGAAAAAGATATACCATGTACTCATTAATAATCTTTTTTTAAAAAAAGCAAGAATAGCAATAGTAGTAATGTTTGGATAAAATAGACTCCAAAGCAAAGAAAATTACCAGAGACAAAGAGGGATATTATATAATGACAAAAGGATCAATTCACCAGGAAAGACATGATATACTAAATGGTGTACAAACTAAACCACAGAGTCTCAAATACATGAACCAAAAACTGGTAAAGCTGAAATGAGAAATAGAAGACTCTACAATTATAGTTAGGAATTTAAACACCCCCACCCCTACCCTCCCTGGCAATTTATAGAACTATGAGGCAAAAAAAAAAAAAAAAAAAAGAAATCACAAAATCACAAGGATATGGAAGATCCACACAACACAATCAACAAAATCTAATTAACATTTATAAAACATGCCACCTAACAGAACTTATAGAATATATTTTTCTCAATTGCCCATGGAACGTTCGCCCAATAGAAAAGAAAAAAACAGAAAATATACCATAAACCAAACCTCAACAAAGGTAAAAATTAAAATCGTTCAGAGCATGTACTCTAACCATAATGTAATTAAACTAAAAATCTCTAACAAAGACAACAGGAAATTCTTGAAACACTTGAAAACTAAGCAAGACACTTCTAAATAATCTATGGGTCAAAGAGGAAGTCTCAAAGGAAATTAAAAGATGACATAGAACTAGATGTAAATGAAAACACATATCAAAGTATGTGGGATACAGATAAAGCAGTACTGTAATTTATAGCACTGAATACATTAAAAATGAGGAAAGGCCAGAACTGGTGGCTCACACCTGTAATCCCAGCACTTTGGGAGGCCAAGGCAGGAGGATCACTTGAGGCCAGGAGTTTGAGACCATCCTGAGCAACTCAGCAAGATCCAGTCTCTACAAAAAAAAAAAAATTAGCCAGGCATGGTGGGTGCACCTGTAGTCCCAGCTACTTGGGAGGCTGAGGCAGGAAAATCACTCGAGTCCAGGAGTTTGAGGTTGCAGTGAGCTATGATGATGCCACTGTACTCCAGCCTGAGCAACAGAGAGAGACCCTGTCCCCTCCCTGCCAAAAAAAGGAAAGAGGTCATATCTATAATTTAAGTTCCTACCTCAAGGAACTTGAAAAAGAAGAGCAAAATAAACCCACAGCAAGCAGAAGGAATGAAATAATAAAGAGCAGAAGCCAATAAAGTTGAAAACTGAAAATAGAAAAATATTACCAAAAAGAACAATGAAACAAAAAGCTGGTCCTTTAAAAAAGTATAATAAAATTGATAAACCTCTAGCAAGACTGACAAAATAGAAAACGAATCACCTACATGAGGAATAAAATAAGAGATATTATTCCAAATACTGCAACCATTAAAAAAGATGATAAAGGAGTACTACATACAACTTTATGCTCAGA